AAGTCACAATCTCTTCACAGCAAAAGGCATTAATACACTTAGCACTGGTCACTTAAGTCTATTGATTTTTTTTTTTTCCTTTTCCGACAAGCAAGAGGAATACATATCAATTACGTAGGTCGTTTCTCTGGATTTTATATATTCTTCTTCTTCTCTGTGAGTCTTAGCGTCTAGCTAAGTTTCCATAGTCAGGGTTGTCACTTTTAAAACTTTGGAGCCTTGCCTTATCCAATTTACTTCAGGAAGTTTTTCACCTTCTGGCAGGAAGAATGAAAAGACATACAAAGTTAATCCAACATATCAGAGAAGTCTCCAAAAGCTTTTAGTACAAGGGTGAGTGATACATATTTTCCCTTCCTTTTCTGTTATTGAACCATGGTACAAGTTAGCTTGTCTCTCACTGCTATGATGAGGATGTGATATACAAAATTGTTTACTTTAGGCGTATGATAAAACTATTCTACTTTAGGCATATGGGTTAGTTAACCTCTGGACAGTTGATGGTCTCTCCATGACATTAAACGGCCAGAGTCACTCTTCCTTTCTGAATTTTCAAGAAGAGCGATGCAATTGTTAATATGTAGACTGTACTACAAATTCTTTTTATTTTAGCTGGTAATATTTCCATGCGATTAAATGTGGCAGTGGAACTTTGCCAAGGGAATCAATGCCTTCCAATATTACTGTGAGGCTTCCAACCTTAGAAAATCTCGAGGCTTATGCTCTAGAGCAATGGGAGGTATAATACTTGATCTTATCATTCCGCTTTTTTTTTTATTTATTTATTTTTTATAAAACCTCTGCATGTATGTTTTTTATGCTTAACACTGTTTGCTACATAAGTTACTTAAGTTGTTGTTCAATATGCAGTACCTTATATTTTGACTGAAAAGAATCCTAAACTCATCTGTGACTTCGTTTTGTGTTGAACTAGTGTTTCTTATTGCAACTTATAAGCCCAAGTCAGGTTGATAAGCCTTCAAATATTAGCTCTTCTTTGATGAAAGTTTTCCAGCGACGTCTCCTTAGTCACAGGTTTTATTTCCTTTGTAGTAATACTTCTCATTTGTAGCCTTTTCCTGAATGTGTATGTGAGTGTTGCAAACTGTATCGCTTGTTTAATGTCATTTTCTTGTGTGCAATACAGAGACAAAGAAGCTCCAAAACTAACTGAAAGTGGTTTCCAGTTTTTGGTATGCATCAAATGATTTATAAACCAATTGAACTTCTGTAATGCTTTTCCTAAATATAAAAATTGTTTCCTTTGGTATTACAGCTGATGGATACAAATGCACAGCTTTGGTATATTATCAGAGAATATATCTCTAATTCTGAGGTAGCTCTAACTTTTTTTGTTCAATAATATTTTTGCAATTTGCTTTGTACGTGCTCTCTTCATCCACATTTGGTGCAGGAGAGAGGTGTTGAGGCAGCTGAGTTGATCTCATTCATGCTGGAACTTAGTTTTCATGTCATCGGGGAGGTAAGACATTATCATTCCCTGGCGAGAGTTTTATTACATAAAAAAAACTTATAATATTATGGTATTCCATATTATTTTCTTTTTTGTTCCTTTTTCTTTGGTATGTTTACTGAAACTGCAATTTTCATGTAACTGGAATGCAATGTGACTTTGACACTTGATATTTTCATTGCCATCAGGCTATATAGTATAAACACATTGACTGATTTTCAGAGGAGCATAATTAATGACCTGGCAGACCTTGGACTGGTCAAACTTCAGCAGGTTATAATATTTCTGTGCACATTTTTAGAGCTGATGAGGTAACAAGATTACACTTGTGTTCTGAAAGAAACAAAGGAGAAAGCAAACAAATATCATGCATGTCATGGAGCATGCAAATCAGATAAGCACTATTTTCCATTGAACTACATCATGCCATAAATAAAATATGATATAATCACAAAGACCCTTAAACACATTGCAAGAAGCAAAAAAGTTGTGCATCCTTCACAATAAGGGCTGACATTCCTCCAATTGTTATTTGAAATTGACTGAATGAGTTCAAACCATTCAGAAGCTCAAATGCCTGCTCTCATTTTCACAAAAAATGAAAAAAAAAAAAAAAGAAGAACAGAACGTTTCATCAGTGAATAAATATGTACCTGTCAACAGCTTCAAGGAAAACTCTCAACTGAACCAGTCTATCAATGGCTACTCTGTGCTTTGAAAGTCCATCTGGAAGCACCCACTCCTCCAACAATTTAGCTGCCACCGGCACATCAATTTGTAGCATCTGTATGACGTATTTCTTCGCAAGAGGCGGAAGAGACCTGATATTTGAAGATATATACTATTTAGAGTCACAAACTCATATTCATGACACTAAATGCCACTTCTCTAACTCACTTAACTCTGCACTTGTAGCTAAAATGAGAATCCAACCTAATTCCACAATAGTTAAGGAACCATCAAGTTATCGAGTTGGTGGTCATTTGCATTCCATAAAGGTCAAAAGTAGTTAAAACTAAGCACCATATGAAGAGAGGGTGAACGGGTAAGAATCTGTAACTGAGGCAAACAAAGATGCATAATCTTTTCCCTCAGTTTGTGACATTTCTTCAACTGGTTTACCGAAAGAATAGAACAAAAGGAAAATTTTCACCCAAAAAAATTAGTGACACTGATAAAAAAAATGCTAGAAAAAAAAAATGACCTGAGAATAGCCTCACAGATGAATCCATTTTCTTAAAGTTTATCCAGCTTCATGGCGGGCATGGAAGCCACCATGTCCATGAAATTTTTGGCAATAATCCTAACCTCCGGCATTGTGATTCGAACACCACCACCTTTCTTTCTCTTTAATCGGATTCTGATTAAAGGGGTGTTTATCCAGAACTCAAGCAACTTTACGAAAACCCGTTACAAGCCTCGCTTAGCTCCATACCGGTGGAGCATAAAGAGACACTTTGCAGAGTGAAACTGAAGGATCCACAACTTGACAGAGTGGTGGAGCATAAAGAGACTCCTCGCCCAGTCGCTCGACTTCTCCGTCATCCACGACTTGACAGAGATTCTCCGTGTCGCCACTTCTGGTCACTTGCCAACCATCTGAGAGCTCTTCCACAAAGGTATACGTCAATCTTTGTTAAGGGGGAAAAATGCTCGAACCAATCAACTATGATCAGCTCAAATTGATTAGGTTTATGATATTTAGGTCAGGTTATAATATTGGTTATGTATATATGTATATGTTTATATGTTTTTTTTTTAATTTCAACACAGAAAATTAAATTAAAAAAAATAAGAATATTTGAGATTTGTATTTATGTATTTAAAAAACTTTAAATATTATTCATAGTACAAAAAAATTAAGTTCCATGATTTAATGTCAAACATAGTGAATGTTATTAAGTATCTAACAAATGGTTAACTATTTAATCTTCTCTTTTGTATTATAAAGATGCCTTGTTTTATTAATAATAGAAATAAATGTCTGTTTTAAGACAAAATATCATATTTTTTATTCTTCGAACGACGTTGCATAGCATATTATATGAGACTTATCACATTTACTCTGATGTGACTGATTAACTCGGAGACTTTGTATTGAAAATTAAATTAAATAATATTTATTTTTTATAATTTAAAACATTCATTTTATTCATAATATTTTATTTATATTTTAATAAATATGTCATTCTTATATGTAATAAGGGGATAGATGACACTTAAAAATATAAAAAATATGAATGTTTATATAAAACTAGGAAAAACTCTGAGTTTTTATTAGAAATATAAGAAAATTGCATTGTTTAATTAGATTATGCTTGTATAACTGCAATTTCTTCTTCTAACTATTGTAGTTTGGACCCCCATTTTAAATAGAGGGCATCTTTCTTTCTGCACCCACGTTTTTCTTTCATGCACTTCTAAACTCTCTTTTTGTCACTTTACCCTTTTCATAATAACAAACTAGATAACATAATTTCGAAGAATTAGCTGGATTAAAAAACTTGAAAGATGTGATGTGAACTAGAACAACAAATTTGGTTAATAATTTTAGGGATGTAGTTGCCAGATTTTAGAACCCAGTGTATAGCTTTAATCTAGAAAAACATATAGGATTTCGAAATTTGGGATTGAATGAAATAAAATTAACAAAAGTTTGCTACTAAATTAAACAAAAATAAAAAAATTAAAGCTAAATTAAATATAAGACAATCACATGTGACAATGATATTGACATATGATACTTAACTTAACATTTGATACTAACATCATGATACATGACATTAACCTTGTCACACAAATATTGTCATGTGATATAAATATTGACTTTGTAAACAATTGTTTTTAAATTAAGAAAAAATTAAAAAACATGTATATTTTTTAAATTTTTTAAGAAATTTAAAAAACTCATCAATTGACACATGGCATATGTGATTAACAATATAAATACGTCATAAAAAGAATTAAATTATACATAAATTATGAAAATTAAAAACACTTCAAAAAAATAATCTCACGTTAAATAAAATTGACCAAAATAAAAATCAAAATAATGTTGAACCTCATTTTGTTAAATAAAATTGTCGAATATAAAAAGCAAAAGTAATATTCAACCTGATTCTAACTTTGGATATGCTGTTTACACTCTTTAACAACAAACGAAAATCAAAATTCAAATGTAAACACTACTGAGCAACAAGCATATTTTAGAATTAAAATAATTTCAATTAAGATATTTTCAAACTGTAGATTTAACAAAAATGTCTAGAATAAATGATTCAGGTAAGTTTGTAACATGTTTTTCCGCAAGTTTTAATAAAAGAAAAAAATGAATCGAAGTTTTGTGTAAATTAAAACTAAGTTATATATAACTTTAAAATAACAATATAGATATGTTACATAAGAGAATTTTTAGAAATACATAAACTAAGTTGAGCTTATGAAAAATATGATTTATTTCTTTATTTTTCTGTAATTGTTTATGAAAAAAAATTCGTCTAAGCAACCTGAATTATAACACATGTTGTTTAGTATAAAATACAAAATATTTAATGGATATAGTAATTTTATTTTAATTTATCATAACATGTATCGTCATTAAACTTGTTATACTTTTTCTAAATACAAGTATTTACTATATAAATCTAATTAGTAGAAAAATATTTGTTAACGATTTTTAATACATAATAATTTCAATCACATAATGTTTATTGGACAGTTTTTTACGGTTTTTCATTTTATTTAACAATGAAAAGGTACGTGATATAAGCTATGGAATAAAGATGTTTATGGGTTACACACACACACACACACACATATATATATATATATATATATATATATATTTAAATTTGGAGATTGCATTCACAAAAAATTAAAATAGAGAAACCAAAATTACATATAAGAATTAAAAAGATAAAAAAAAATATAATTTAGCTTTTATAACTTTGGTGGTTGAGTCCTAGGTTTTAACCTTTATTTTGCTAATTATTATTCGTTAAGTGAATTTAAATAGGAAAATTAATATAGTTTTCATGATAATTTGGTGTATTATTAATCGATCGTAACTCATAAAGATTCTTTGATTAATCTCTTAAATCAAAGTATCCTAAAATTGGTAGCCGTCACAAAAAACCGAATAAAAATTGGAAGATGTTTGGAGGTCCACTGCCAAAACATGGATAAACGTTGAAGACCGGACGGATGAACGGGGTTCGAAGCTCTTCAGGCTGTAGACCGGCGGGCTTTGCTCCCATCGGACGGACGGGTGGACTTTGCTCCAAGCGGGCGGACGGGTTCCCTAGTTGTCCTCGCACTTCAAGTTGTTCATTCTCTCTCCTCCTTTTTCAAGCCGAATGGACGGATACTTATTAAAGTCACTTCGACGCTCAAGTCAATAAACTGACCAAACGGTTAGCACAACAAGTAATGCATGTCGTGTGCATAATGTGCAGCATGGTCCAGAAATCATACCTAGGACTCTTATTTATACCAGTTGTAATGTGCTTTTACCTTTCACCGGTCTAATGACAGTCCAATCACACCTTAATCTTCATTAGGGGTTTTAATGAACTATTATCGTTTGTAATCTAACCATGTGGTCGGCCGATATGGGTAGTCAACCTGGATAGAACCGTTCAGTTCACGAAGTCGAGAGTATACCGATCTTTGGGAGAGTTGGACTCGGAAGAGCCGTTCGGTCGACTCTTCCAAAACCGACCTTGGAAGAGTCGTTCGGTCAATCCTGGACAGTCGGCTTAGATGTGCAAGAGACGGTACGGTACAAAAGACATTGACTATGAAGACCCAAATGGTGGATATGAGCAATTTAAAACAAGTATAGATGTTTTGTTTAATTAAAAAAGGAGAAAGTGGACGACAATGTAAAGAAATTAATTTATGTTGAGTCCTTAGAAATATAGAAAAATAATTAGTTTGTTGGTTTGTTAATAGTTTGGGATCTGAAACCGCAGTGGTCTATGAGCGACAATGACAGCGAATATGGGTTGTCGCTACATACTACAAACGAAGAAGGAAAAATCTGTGATCTGAATCTCATGTCTTCTTATGTTTCTGAGAATCACATGTCACCACGTTGCTTCTTCTTTTTCATTGCCCACTGTAACACACCACACAACTTGCAAATTTTCAAAACCCTAAAAATAAATCTAATCAAAATCAACCCTTCATAATACAGGCCCAACATAGCCCACCTTAAACCACATGGCCCAACCCTGAACTACTCATGTCAAACCTCAATCAGGCCGATCCAGCCCAGTATACTTTATTAAAATTAGTCGTCGCTTTAATCTTTATCACTTTCCTAATTTCTAACTATTACAGTTAAGTTTATTTACTATTTTCTTGGTCTCTATCCGAAATCTTTATAAATTAGATGGATTAAATCATTACGATTTTTTCTTTTGCTTAAAACTTCAAATTAAAATATCAAATTTATCAGTGTCTAATTATTTGAATAAAATAATTTCTGGAACGGTTCCAACATTCTGCAAAACAAATATATATATATATATATAAAGCACTTTTCTTTCTCTCAGGTATATATGAGGAATATGTCTCTTGAAATGAACTTGACAACACAGATAGCTAAGCATGCATTACATATGTACTGAATGATCGAGAAATTAAAATTAATAAGTGACACGAACACCCTGGTACCTGAGAATTTCGCCGATGAGCTCCCCTTTGCCGGAACCGACGTACCTGCCCTCGATGTTGCCGTCTCTGATGAACAGAAAAGTGGGGACCTGAATTACTTCCATGTCTCTCAAGAACTGCATGCAACTTTCGTTCTCGTCCCCGTTCATCCGAGCGAACACCACCGAGTCCATTTGCCTGGACAGCTTAACCACCGTGGGGTAAACCTTCACGCAGGGTCCACAATGCTTTAGTCCCACATCCAGCACGATGAGCTTGTGGTCCACCTTGTGATCCTCTATGAGCTTCTGAACGTCCTCCACGCTGTGCAGCTGCTCCACCGCCGAGTGGCTGTCCCCGTAGTACAGCACGTCACCCACCAGCATGTCTGGACCGATGCCTTCCTCTTCGTGGATCTTCTCCCTGCTCTTGTAGAAGCTGAAGTGAGGCACATTCTCCACCTTCTCTCTCTTCAAGAGCTCCTTTGTTTGAGCCGACTCGTCCCCCATTACCAGGATGAACTCCACGTCGCTACAGCTGCGGCTCAGCTCCACCATGAAAGGGTATATCTGGCTGCTCTCCTCGCTGTCGCTGGCCGCGTACTCCACCACCACCAGCCTCTCTTTGGCGGACTCAAGCGCCGAATCAAACTCCTCGATGCTGTGCACCCGCTGAACTCTCTCTTTCTTTTCTGCTTTCTTGGCGCCTGGAGCCGCCGTGGCTCTGGGGATTAACGGTGACCGATTATAGTTGGGGGTGGTTGATATCCGTGATGGTATTTTGGGTAGAAAAGGAAGAGTAGAGGCATGAGAAAGAAGAGGAAGAAGCTTTGGGTGTGGGGAAAGGGAGACGGGGGATTTGAATAGTAAATTGTTGGTGAGTGTAGCCATGAGTGGAGTATGAAGGATGAAGAATGAAGAATGAAAAATGCAGAATGCAGAATGCAGAATGAAGAAGGAAGATAGAGATTACGAAGAATGGCACTGAACAAAAATCTCATATCCCATTCCTTTACATGTGGTCTATAATATTGACACCTGTCTTCTCCTTCTTACTTTTTATTTATTTATTTTCTCAATTTATTCTGGTCCATATTAATGGGATTAAGTTTGTGTGCCGTGTTGCTGTTCAAAGTTAGCTTCCTAGATATTAAGACCATCATTATATCTTTCATTATTTTTCATTTAAACAATTTATATGGACTTATTTCTCCAATCAACCACTTTTTTTTTATTCGTTGCATAAAATCATTCCTGTATTTACATTCATTAATAATTTATGTATATATTAGCTTATGATAATTTTATTTATATATTTAATAATAATGGATTTATTAGTTTTTTCTTTTATAAAATGCTTTTACAAGCCGAAATATATCTTAGACAGATTTTAGAAGAAACATTCTTGAGCACTATCTTTTTTTCAATTTGAAATATCTTCTTCCAAGTATCAAGTTGTTCTTCCAAATATCAAGTTTTCGGTATATATTAGTTAAAAATGTTTCCAAATATAAATTCAAATGAGGTTGGTGTTTGTAAAAACATTCCAACTTCCAATAGAGATATATGTGTAAGATGGTAATATATATGTGTAAAATAGTAATAAATGAAACAAATAAATACGTGATAATTATTTTTGAATGATGTTATTTATAGTGCTTTCATAGTTTTTATTTGGTTGGGTCTAGATTTTAAGATTTTGGTAATCAATTTTATGTTTCAATTTCTTTGTTAATCATGCATAACTTTCATTTGTGTTTTCGATATGGTTTCAGTAGATAAAATAATTTTTAATAATACAATATACTTTCTGAGTAAATTAAACTTTATTTTATTTGAAGTGGAAAATAGTTAAATTTATTCATGAAGATATAATTATCCCACAATTAACAGAATTTTCATAGTTAAGACAAAAGTAATACTTTTGGAACTCAATTATTTAAATATATGTTTAATATGTTTGTTTGAAACTATGATGTGACGTCTGTCACGAATATAGTGGTATGGTTCAAATTCGAATGAGAATTACTACCATTAATGGCGGAAGACTTTTTTGTTGTATTGATTATGAGAATTATCAAATGATAGTTGTTATAAAATAATTTTTAATAATACAGTATAATTTTTGGGTAAATTAAATTTCATTTAAAATAGAAAATTATTATATTTATTCACCAAGTTGCAAAAGTATTTAAAATTAGTTTTATTTTAACTATGTGATTTTTATTAATTATAATAAATAATAAAAATCACATAGTTAAATAAAACTAATTTTAAATATTTTGCAACCGAAATACTTAAATATATGTTTAATAATGTTTGTTTGAAATTATGATGTGAGTCTCTCACGAATATAGGTATGGTTCAAATTCAAACGAGGACTACACATGTTTATGACCGAAGACTTTATTGTTGTATTGATTGTAAGAATTATCAACATAGTTTGTCACTCATTTTCCACAATTATATATTTTTTGCAATATAATATTCTTATAGAACTATTTTGTGGTAAATTTGGAGAATTTGAAAAACTAATTAAATAGATAAGAATAATGAAATGAATTTGTATAAACTGGTAGTTTATATATATAATATATAAATAAAAACGAAAGAAATAGAATGTAATTTTTTTCTTGTTTTTTAAATTTTAATTGCTAGATACTTCCATTTTTAAAACTTTTACACTCAATTAGTTAGAAATTATGATTTTGGATAAAATTATTACAGAAATCAATGGTGCAACTATACATAATTATGTATAATTGAGTAATAGTATGAAATTGGTTTTTAACGAGTAAATCGATTTTTATGTCGTTCTTGTTTAAAATTTATATATGTTTACTATCAATTTATATAAATAATTACTTCATATATATCATCACTCCTTTACATGCAATAGCATCAACCACTATAGTCATGACCTCACATTCGTGTTTAGCTTTAAAACATCTTATCAACAATAAAAAATAAATATAATCACAACTCCACATGATGATTAATCTTTCTTAATAAATTGAAGTTTCAAAAATATAAATAGAAAATCATGTTAAAATAGTTTTTAATTATGAAATGATGACTATATTGATTTCCAAAGTAGCCTTTACACACTGGTATTGAGACTCTGTGGTCGGGAATAATGACAGAAAAAGGAAAAAAAATGGAAGAGAAATGATAGGGTAAGAATTAGAGAGTTTGTGTCTGGCTAAGTCTTCGAAACGATAATCAGAATTAAAATAAGGAAGAAAGTAGTAGGCTAGAGAGTAGGGAGCCGAGATTCACGCGCGACACACATGGAGTGAGCAGCAGCCAGCCAACCACACACTCACCACAACTCAGTGGAGGAATGTTCTCTATAAAACCAAACATAACATTTGACAACACAACATAAACCAACCCAAAATGGACTCACTGTCCCTCCNTATATATATATATATAAAGCACTTTTCTTTCTCTCAGGTATATATGAGGAATATGTCTCTTGAAATGAACTTGACAACACAGATAGCTAAGCATGCATTACATATGTACTGAATGATCGAGAAATTAAAATTAATAAGTGACACGAACACCCTGGTACCTGAGAATTTCGCCGATGAGCTCCCCTTTGCCGGAACCGACGTACCTGCCCTCGATGTTGCCGTCTCTGATGAACAGAAAAGTGGGGACCTGAATTACTTCCATGTCTCTCAAGAACTGCATGCAACTTTCGTTCTCGTCCCCGTTCATCCGCGCGAACACCACCGAGTCCATTTGCCTGGACAGCTTAACCACCGTGGGGTAAACCTTCACGCAGGGTCCACAATGCTTTAGTCCCACATCCAGCACGATGAGCTTGTGGTCCACCTTGTGATCCTCTATGAGCTTCTGAACGTCCTCCACGCTGTGCAGCTGCTCCACCGCCGAGTGGCTGTCCCCGTAGTACAGCACGTCACCCACCAGCATGTCTGGACCGATGCCTTCCTCTTCGTGGATCTTCTCCCTGCTCTTGTAGAAGCTGAAGTGAGGCACATTCTCCACCTTCTCTCTCTTCAAGAGCTCCTTTGTTTGAGCCGACTCGTCCCCCATTACCAGGATGAACTCCACGTCGCTACAGCTGCGGCTCAGCTCCACCATGAAAGGGTATATCTGGCTGCTCTCCTCGCTGTCGCTGGCCGCGTACTCCACCACCACCAGCCTCTCTTTGGCGGACTCAAGCGCCGAATCAAACTCCTCGATGCTGTGCACCCGCTGAACTCTCTCTTTCTTTTCTGCTTTCTTGGCGCCTGGAGCCGCCGTGGCTCTGGGGATTAACGGTGACCGATTATAGTTGGGGGTGGTTGATATCCGTGATGGTATTTTGGGTAGAAAAGGAAGAGTAGAGGCATGAGAAAGAAGAGGAAGAAGCTTTGGGTGTGGGGAAAGGGAGACGGGGGATTTGAATAGTAAATTGTTGGTGAGTGTAGCCATGAGTGGAGTATGAAGGATGAAGAATGAAGAATGAAAAATGCAGAATGCAGAATGCAGAATGAAGAAGGAAGATAGAGATTACGAAGAATGGCACTGAACAAAAATCTCATATCCCATTCCTTTACATGTGGTCTATAATATTGACACCTGTCTTCTCCTTCTTACTTTTTATTTATTTATTTTCTCAATTTATTCTGGTCCATATTAATGGGATTAAGTTTGTGTGCCGTGTTGCTGTTCAAAGTTAGCTTCCTAGATATTAAGACCATCATTATATCTTTCATTATTTTTCATTTAAACAATTTATATGGACTTATTTCTCCAATCAACCACTTTTTTTTTATTCGTTGCATAAAATCATTCCTGTATTTACATTCATTAATAATTTATGTATATATTAGCTTATGATAATTTTATTTATATATTTAATAATAATGGATTTATTAGTTTTTTCTTTTATAAAATGCTTTTACAAGCCGAAATATATCTTAGACAGATTTTAGAAGAAACATTCTTGAGCACTATCTTTTTTTCAATTTGAAATATCTTCTTCCAAGTATCAAGTTGTTCTTCCAAATATCAAGTTTTCGGTATATATTAGTTAAAAATGTTTCCAAATATAAATTCAAATGAGGTTGGTGTTTGTAAAAACATTCCAACTTCCAATAGAGATATATGTGTAAGATGGTAATATATATGTGTAAAATAGTAATAAATGAAACAAATAAATACGTGATAATTATTTTTGAATGATGTTATTTATAGTGCTTTCATAGTTTTTATTTGGTTGGGTCTAGATTTTAAGATTTTGGTAATCAATTTTATGTTTCAATTTCTTTGTTAATCATGCATAACTTTCATTTGTGTTTTCGATATGGTTTCAGTAGATAAAATAATTTTTAATAATACAATATACTTTCTGAGTAAATTAAACTTTATTTTATTTGAAGTGGAAAATAGTTAAATTTATTCATGAAGATATAATTATCCCACAATTAACAGAATTTTCATAGTTAAGACAAAAGTAATACTTTTGGAACTCAATTATTTAAATATATGTTTAATATGTTTGTTTGAAACTATGATGTGACGTCTGTCACGAATATAGTGGTATGGTTCAAATTCGAATGAGAATTACTACCATTAATGGCGGAAGACTTTTTTGTTGTATTGATTATGAGAATTATCAAATGATAGTTGTTATAAAATAATTTTTAATAATACAGTATAATTTTTGGGTAAATTAAATTTCATTTAAAATAGAAAATTATTATATTTATTCACCAAGTTGCAAAAGTATTTAAAATTAGTTTTATTTTAACTATGTGATTTTTATTAATTATAATAAATAATAAAAATCACATAGTTAAATAAAACTAATTTTAAATATTTTGCAACCGAAATACTTAAATATATGTTTAATAATGTTTGTTTGAAATTATGATGTGAGTCTCTCACGAATATAGGTATGGTTCAAATTCAAACGAGGACTACACATGTTTATGACCGAAGACTTTATTGTTGTATTGATTGTAAGAATTATCAACATAGTTTGTCACTCATTTTCCACAATTATATATTTTTTGCAATATAATATTCTTATAGAACTATTTTGTGGTAAATTTGGAGAATTTGAAAAACTAATTAAATAGATAAGAATAATGAAATGAATTTGTATAAACTGGTAGTTTATATATATAATATATAAATAAAAACGAAAGAAATAGAATGTAATTTTTTTCTTGTTTTTTAAATTTTAATTGCTAGATACTTCCATTTTTAAAACTTTTACACTCAATTAGTTAGAAATTATGATTTTGGATAAAATTATTACAGAAATCAATGGTGCAACTATACATAATTATGTATAATTGAGTAATAGTATGAAATTGGTTTTTAACGAGTAAATCGATTTTTATGTCGTTCTTGTTTAAAATTTATATATGTTTACTATCAATTTATATAAATAATTACTTCATATATATCATCACTCCTTTACATGCAATAGCATCAACCACTATAGTCATGACCTCACATTCGTGTTTAGCTTTAAAACATCTTATCAACAATAAAAAATAAATATAATCACAACTCCACATGATGATTAATCTTTCTTAATAAATTGAAGTTTCAAAAATATAAATAGAAAATCATGTTAAAATAGTTTTTAATTATGAAATGATGACTATATTGATTTCCAAAGTAGCCTTTACACACTGGTATTGAGACTCTGTGGTCGGGAATAATGACAGAAAAAGGAAAAAAAATGGAAGAGAAATGATAGGGTAAGAATTAGAGAGTTTGTGTCTGGCTAAGTCTTCGAAACGATAATCAGAATTAAAATAAGGAAGAAAGTAGTAGGCTAGAGAGTAGGGAGCCGAGATTCACGCGCGACACACATGGAGTGAGCAGTAGTCAGCCAACCACACACTCACCACAACTCAGTGGAGGAATGTTCTCTATAAAACCAAACATAACATTTGACAACACAACATAAACCAACCCAAAATGGACTCACTGTCCCTCCTCTGGACCGCCCCGTTCCTCGCCGCCGGTCTTTACTGGTTCATCTGCATCCTGGGTTCTGCCGAGCAGAAGGGGAAACATGCCACCGCCATATCCGGCGGCTCCATCTCGGCGGAGAAAATTCAAGACAAATACAAGCAGTACTGGTCCTTCTTCCTGCGGCCCAAGGAGATCGAAACCGCCGAGAAAGTGCCGGACTTCGTCGACACATTCTACAATCTCGTAACTGACATCTACGAATGGGGTTGGGGCCAATCCTTCCACTTCTCTCCCTCCGTTCCTGGCAAGTCCCACGCCGAGGCCACGCGCCTCCACGAACAGATGGCCGCGGATCTCATCCAGGCCCGCCCGGGCCAGCGGATCATCGACGTGGGCTGCGGCGTAGGAGGGCCCATGCGGGCCATCGCGGCCCACTCAGGCGCCAACGTGGTGGGCATCACCATCAACGAGTACCAGGTCCAGCGGGCGAGGTTCCACAACAAGAAAGCACGGCTGGAGTCCCTCTGCGAGGTGGTGTGCGGCAACTTCCTCCACATGCCCTTCCCGGACGACAGCTTCGACGGTGCCTACTCCATCGAAGCGACCTGCCACGCGCCGAAGCTGGACGAAGTTTACGCGCAAGTGTTTCGCGTTCTGAAGCCAGGGGCGCTGTACGTGTCGTACGAGTGGGTGACCACTGACAAATTCAGAGGGTCGGAGGCGGAACACGTGGAGACCATTGAGGGGATCGAGAGAGGGGACGCTCTGCCTGGTCTGAGGAGCTACGCTGACATCGCGGAGAGCGCGCGTAGGGTGGGGTTTGAGGTGGTGGAGGAGCGCGATCTCGCTCTCCCACCCTCTCACCCCTGGTGGACCCGTTTGAAGATGGGTCGGATCGCCTACTGGCGGAACCACCTTCTCATTTCTGTTCTCTCCGCCTTAGGAATTGCCCCCAAAGGTACCCTCGACGTTCATCAAATGCTCTTCCAGACCGCCGACCACCTCACCCGTGGTGGTGATACCGGAATATTCTCCCCCATGCACATGATTCTCTGCCGAAAACCCATCTCCACCTGATCTATTCATTTCCTTTTTCTCTTTTTCCTTTCCTTTTCCTACTGTAATTGCTTTTAATTCCATGGTCGACTGCTGCATGCATGCAATTTGGTTTTCAAAGCTAATTTTTTGTTGGATAGCCCTGTATAGTGCCCAATTCATCCTCGAATCTCACGGATCCAGGAATCTACGAAGTTTTCACTTTCCTTTTTTTTATTTTAAAATTTTTTCGATCACGTACTGCGGTGAGATGTAAAGTAAGGTGAATTTGCGCTTGCCATGCATGGTGGATCCGTTATTTATCGTAGATCTTAAAGAATCAGAATCTTCAACCCTCTTGTGTTTATTTTTTACGTCTGTTGCTAGCTTTTAGTCACGTTGCGCTTGGATCTGTCGTTGTATTTCTCATTACTCGTAACGCCCGGAATAAAAAAACCACCTGCGGTAATTTTGTTTCCATATTTAATCATTGTTTCTGACTCCACAAAACAAAAAAATATAGCCATGGTTAATGCAATTCCCTTCTCCTTCATAAAGTGCCAGATAATCACTGTGACTGCATACTTATTTAATATTTGTTGAATCATTAGTTTACTAATTTGTAAAGTTTCCAATGTTGGATAAACTTAAAGTGTACAGCTACTGGTGAACTAATTTATTCTCCCTCTGCAATTTTAACATCTATGATTCCTTTTTGTTTCAGCTGTTACTCTGTTATGAGTTCTTCAGTCGGATAAAGAAAGAGGTAATTATGAAACTTTAACGCATTTTGAATTGGAGTATTTGGAAGATTTTACTTCCATTTCATTTCTATAGAATGTATTTAGAAATTTAACTCCGTTCCGGCACTTGAGTGCATGAATGATTTTGATCACCTTTATTTTAATTATTATTTGTATTTAACCTTCCTAAGTATTTCATCCTAAGTTCTGTCAATGGGCTTCCAGGTTTGGGCCTTAGCTTGTTTTTAACATATTTGGAATATGAGGTATTCTGGGAAGAGAATTTGATTTCATTGTTTCTTACAATTACTTTATTTAATATTTTTATGGTGAAAAAGTACACGAAGTATACTAATTGATGTGAGATGACATTTATAAAATGAATGACATAAGAACATAATTTTTTTTCTTTTAAAAGTTACATCCAGTAACTATCTCTTAAAAAATGTTTCTTAAGAGTTGCGATTTCGTGTAAATTATTTTGGTCTTTTTTTCGTTTGAGAAACTTTTTACAGTGTGGGATGTAATTTTTATTGAGATGAATTTAAGACAAATTTAGAAAAGACGGTCTATTACCTTGTTCTAACTTGTAATGGACTTCTATGGTCTGACCTTGAAAATCCCACTATGAGTGTTAAAAGGGTGTTACTCCCTCCACCCACACACGTCTCTTCCTCTACCTCCCCAATTTTCTAAAATGCCAATTATATCCTTCTAAAATGACAATTATATCCTCAAAAGTTAAAATTTTTTATTTTTATTATTTTAATATTTTAATTTATTTAAAACTTCTGATTTACTTCCCTCTGCACCTCTTCCTCTCTTCCATTTTCGTTTACCTTTCTCTCTTCCGTTAAGCTTCTTCTCCACCTATAACAAATTCATATTTTAACAAATTCATATTTTAACAAATTCATATTTTAACAAAATTATTACGTTTAAAAACTAACCATATATAACATTTAAAATTATAAATTTAAATATAAATTACTGTAAATAAAATAAACAAATAAAATAAAAACGAAACGTAAAAGGAACACTGCCTCTGGACGGATGACATCCTTCAACGGATGTCAACATCCGTT